ACTTCAACTCCCAGAATTCCCCAGCCAGCATGGAGTTGAAGTCCACACATCTTAAAGTTGCCAAGGTTGAGAAACACTGCTCTATACAATATTAATTTCCCATATTTCTTTTCTAATTCCTTGTCCATAAAACCCAGTAGGAACAACTCTGGTTTCATCATGATGTTAGTCTGCAATCTGTTTTGCATCATTGTATGGATTTGCACCCAACTTTTTTTCCTTTTTCACAAGTCCACTATGCACGATAGAAAGTCCCTTCTTCCTTTTCATACCGCCAACACTGGTTTGATGTTCATTTATACATTTTAAACAATTTATCCGGTGTCATATATCATTGATACATCATTTTGTAAAAGTTCTCTCTTAAATTATAGCACAATGTAAATTTAACACCAGTTCCCCACATTTTCTCCCGTATGTCCATATTTATATTATAACCAAAGTTTGCTGCCTATTTCACCATACAATCTCTAACCTGTTCATCCTGTTTCAAATCTTAATTACAAGTTGTAATTTTAGCTATTCTATGATCATCATTTGCACATAACTCTATTTGAAATGCAGTTTTCTTCTCAGTTTCAATTGTTCTTTTATCCATATTAAACCTCTTTCTTCTGATTATGAGAAAACCATTGAAAAGAATGTCCTTCTGCTGCTAATTGCTCCCTTGTCTTCATCTTAATTTCTTCCTTATCTTGTATTAATAAATCCTCATACATTAACCACATTCATACCCCTCTCTAGATGGAAAGTCCCAACAGGGTCAGTGGGGGTGGGGGGTGGTCAGGGGGAGATCATTCCAGAGGGTAGGTGCTGCAGTGGAAAAGGCACGCCTCCTGGGACCCTTCAGATGGCATTGTTTCAGGGAAGGGATGTGAAATATGCCCACCTGCTAGTGTGTGTGGAACTGGCAGATTCTATTGTGGGGAGGCGGTCCCACAAGTAAACCAGTCCTGTAATATATAGGGCTTTATAGTGATAACCAGCACCTTGAAGTGCACCCAGAAGCCTATAGGAAACTAACGCACCTAGTGAAGTCATGGTGTTACGTAGTGTACCAAAATGCACCCATAGCTACCGACCCCATTGCATTTTGGACCAATTGTGGCTTCCAGGTGGTCTTCAAGGGCAGCCCAATGTACAGCGTGTTGCAGTAGTCCAGCCAGGGTGGGTGGGAGTGACTAGGACATGAATGACAGCGAGCAGGACCTTCTGATTCAGGAATGGGCACACAAAGTAAAATTGTGCAAGGGCCTCCCAGGCCACAGGTGCCACATGCTCTTTGAGGAGAAACTGTGAGTCCAGGAGGACCCCTAGATTGTATAGTAGGGGGTGCAACCCCATCTAGGACCAAAGATGGAAAATCTCCAGTGCCAAATACAGAGACCCAAAACCCAAAGCCACTTGGTCTTGGCAGGGTTGAGTTGAAGCCTGTTCTTCCCCATCCAGATCCCCACGGCCTCCAGACACTGTGATAAGACCTCAACAGCCTCACTTGCTCAACCAGGGGTGGAGATACACAGTTGAGTATCACCAGTGTATCCATGATACTGCATTCAGTGCCAACAAACGACCTCCCCCAGAGGCTTCATCTAGATCAGTGTTTTTCAAATTAGACAACTTTAAGATGTGTGGACTTCAACTCCCAGAATTCCTGGGGAATTCTGGATGTTGAAGTCCACAGATCTTAAAGTTGCCAAGTTTGAAAAACACCGATGTAGATATTCAAAAGAAGTATGGTGGAGGGAGCTGTTCTCTTTTACTCTACTTGTTGAAAGTATGGAAGGGAGGGAAATGCTGTCAAAAGGAGGGGGAAAGGTGACAACTATGAAAGAAAGTCAAGAAATCAAGTGGACATTGTAGGAGGAGAGTATGTTAGTCTATGGTAGTAAAAATCATGAGTCTGGTAGCATCTCTTCAGTAACACATTTTATTAAAAGGCATAAGCTTTTGTGACCCGCACCTCTCTGCATCAGATGTATTCTGTTGTTAGTCTGAATAGGTCCTTTTCAGTTTGTTAGTCTGAGAAGGTTACTATCAGATTCCTCCTGATTTTAGAAAACAAAGTGCTAATCGAGAAGATATCAGGAGAAGTGGCTGTGTTAGAAACTGGCTAGTAGGACTTGCTCTGTCTCCCAACATTTCCTAAACCAACTCTGATCACATCTGCTACGGGTCACCTGAACATCTCCAGGGTCATGGATGGTGAAGTGTAACCAGTTTTACCCACCCTGAAACTGTCATTGGACAGTGTCAGAACTTGTAGAAATGATAAACAGCCACACAGACTACATTCACACAGGGTAAGATGTGATTAAAACACATTAAAAGGTGCATGAGAAAGAGGAAGGTAGAGGGGGCAACCTCTCCTGAGTCCCTTAAGGAAGCCTGCGGTCCTCAGGCGTGAGGGACGGCTGCTCCATAAAGAACTACTTCCGCAGTCTAGTCTCAAAGGCTCTCTGGTTACTGGAGTGTGGACAGGAGAGAAGGATGTCACATCTTCTTCCCCTTAAATAGCAACATTACTATACGGAGCACATTCTGGGAAGAAGAGACACAGGAGTTGGAAAGATGGAAGCCGAAGTTTAGACACACGGAGATTCACGAGTCTAAGACCCCAAATCATGCCCTATAAAATACCCCGCACAGGATCGGGGCCCGCTACCCCTCCCTTTTTTACATTACTGGGCGGCCACGTTGTTTTAGCAGCGCATTCTGTTTAATCCTGGCACGACTGCCAAAAAAGGGGTGGCGGCAGATTCCTGATGCACGCCGGGGTGGAGGCAGAGAGAGGTGTCCCGCTGCAGTTGGGCGACGAGAAGCGGGGAACACGGAGGACCCCAGAAAGAGCCCGCCCTGCCGGCCTCGGGACGAACGGAACTTTGTGTCAACGTGGCGCAGACCGGCCAGTCCCGGAGCCCCTCGGCCACGCCCCTCGGCCGACCGCGGGCCCGGATTGGGTGTTGCAGAGATGAGGGGCGTGTCCGGGGAAACATCGGAGGGGTGAAGATGAACTGAGGCGGCATTCCGAGAGTGGGGATCGTGCATGTGGGAGCTGCTTTGGGGAAGAGGTAAAAGGCGTGGGGAAATGGAGGAATCGATTAATGGAATCCTCCCCAGGAAATGGAGGAATCGATACTGGCCTGGGGAGGATTAATGGAAAGGGGCTTTGGGACGCGCAGACCAGAGATGAGGTGAACGGAATGAGGGGAGGGGGCTACGGCCCCGGGGGCGTCGGCTGGCCGTGGAGAACTTACGTCGGGAAAGGAAACCTTCTTCTTCCTTTGTTAGGGACGGCAGCGTTGCAGCTGAAGAACCGAGTTGGGATGCTCTCGGTTGGCGGTGTAAGAATGTAAGTGGTGACCGGAGGCGATTGTCGGGAGCCACGGAGTAAATCGGAGCATTCAGAGCGGCGCTGAACTCTCAGGCGCCTTGTGGAGGCTGTTGGCGCCGAGTGTTGCGGTTTAGGATTGGACGGAGGGCGTCTGGTGCCTCTAGAAGACGAGCAACGTGGCCGCGTGTGGGATTTTAGGGGCCAGCTCCCTAGGGGCGCTCGGGCCTTCTTGGAAATGGGCAGCAGGAACCACCTCCTGCTGAGACGGTTACTTGTTCGTGCCCAGCTTCTGCATCCTGCCCTGTTTTCTGATTTGATTGATCGATTGATTGATTGATTATGTGCCATCAAGTCGTTTTCGATTCCTAGCGACCACATAGATAGATTTTCTTCATGACGTTTTCTGATGCGGGGTGTCAGTTCTTCTCTCTTCATTTGCTTGTTGATTTAAAGGTGCATTTTCTGCTAAGAGACATTATAAGGATAAAGTGTTTTAGCCTGAATCCCACAGTGCGTGTCTTGCTGGAGCAGGAACTCCTGTGCTTTCTTAACTTCTAGGTTGAACCATGTTAATTTGTCTTGCATTTGGAGACAATCATATGGGGAAGGGGGGGGGAGTGAAATATGCATTTTTTCACCCTGAGGGTAACTATATTAGTTTGTTGCACCACAATCCAGTTTAAAAGACAGCAAATGTATGTATGGCAGAGACTGGCTGGCACTAGATTCTACTTCATCAGTGCATGAATTATAAGTAAATATTTATCCCTAGTGGGATGGTAAGCAAGGAGGTCAAAGGAAAATTAATTGTAGAAAGTGCAGACAACAGATAACACTGACCATTCACAAAACAATAGTTGGGTGATCACACAGATACTCAACAATTAATCAGGTCATTATCACTGTCTCATTGTTCCATTTTCTTCTCAACCTCTTTGTTCACTATTTCCCATGCCTCTTCACCTTTTTACTGAGGAAGTCAGTAAAAGAAGAGATCAGCACTTTTGGGAAGGGGTTGGGGAACAATATGGAAGTCAGTTGTCACTGCCTTCTTCCAGAATGTTTTTTTTCTCTTTGCAGTCTAGTCTATGCCTCTAGGATTTCTGGTGTTCTCCTACCCAAAGTTAAAACAGGTTAACCAAGCCTGGCCCTGTTTAGCCTTTTCAAAATCAGCCATTGATTAGGTTCTGCCACTTGCTGTGACTGAGCAGAAAAGCTTCCACTGTAATAGATTTGTTATCCTTTAAAATGTGGAATTCTTGATCTCTGAGCTTGGTTGTTTGCTTGCAGACGTTTCATTACCCAACTAGGTAACATCATCAGTGCAAGTGACTCACGCTGATGATGTCCCCTAGTTGGGTAATGAAACGTCTGCAAGCAAACAACCAAGCTTGGAGAGCATTAAGAACTCCACAGTTCAACCCTGAGCTGCAGATACTTCTGTTGGTATTCTTTAAAGTGCCACAAGACTTAATAGATTTTTCAGCTTTTATTGTAGTGGAATTGCTTGCTAAGTGGGCTTTGTGCAATGGTAGGAGGCTGTTGGGTTTGATTCAGGCCCAGGGCCTGTCTTTGCCATAGTCCAAATAACTTGGCACTGGAAGTGTCTCTTTTGTACTGCAGCCCAGGATGTAAAGCCGTGTTCTCTTTCTGCTGTTGCTTTGTTCTTCGGCGGCTTTGTTCTGGACAGAGCAGGGACAGTTTTCACTGAGCTACTTCAGGAATTGAACGTTCTGTATTTTGGGCAGCAAACTGAAAACTGGCCTAATTTGCCTCTGCTGCTGTGATCTGCTGATGTTTTGCCCCTTGAAAGAGCAGGTGCAGCCCTTATTGCTAATCCCCACCTCCAAGAGATCCTTGGAGAGCTTTGTGTCTGGATGAGTGGGCTAGGATGAAAGGAAGTTGAATGACTAAATAGAGAATTTGGCTGGGAATGGGGACTTGATGATCTTTGGTTTGGAGAGAGGCCCCAGGGCAAAACCAGGTGATAGTCATATGAAGTCAGCATCATACATGGCAGGACTGTGACTGGGAGGTGTTGTTTCAGATCTAAAATCAATCACGACTAAGTTTTAGTGCTGAGAACAAATAATGTGTAGGTGCTGGATTATTTGAGACGAGGAGAACCTGCATCCAAATTCTTGCTCAGACATGGAGTTCATTTGATAACTGGGCCAATCTTTTAGCATCACCTAACTTACAGAGAGATAGTCATGGTACCCCGGAATAGAGTAGAGAACTAAGCATAAACTAAACATTTAACTAAGTAAAGCATAAATGTAATATACATTTTTTTTAAAAAAAGGAGGGGAAAGGGCAAATAGATATATGGGGGTAGGGCATTGGGCTCTGGTTTCTTGGCAAAGAGAAGAAGAAATTGTCATTTTAATAGCATCATTAGAATGCACAGAACTTTACCAAGTACAGAAGAACAGGCCCAACACCAAGGAGCTCACAACGTACAATGTGATAGAGAAGAATCGGGGCAGGGGGGATGCCAAAAAGGGTAAGCAGGGAACCAGGATGTGGGCTGAGTAATAGCAGGACAGCTCTCTTAGTCTTAGAGAACTGTCTTAGAGATGTGTGAGACTACATATCCATAATCCCAGATCATAGGGGATGATGAATGTTGTTGTCTAAGACATCTAAAGGACACGAATTTGGGTATGGGTACAATAAGTATAATCTACAGAGTGATGCAAAGGTAGCTTTAGAAGAAGGACTTGAGGGGAATTAGGGGTATTCTCCAAACTCTGAGCAGCCTAGGAGAATGGATGTCATGCTTTAAGGTAGCAGGAGTTCTCAAAGACAGTAAAGGCAGTGGAGATGAGGAGCAAAATTTCCAGACCCAGATGTATCGGGGATATATATAACGTATGTATTATGTGTTTCCCTTATTGATCATTTTTATTTTTCCAAGAGGTATACAATGGCTTGGCAGAACACACTTTGCTACTACTATCTGCTGACTATATGTCTTGTCTGGGCCCTGGCCAAGCCACCCCCTGACAAGAAGGATCGTGTCCACCATGGTCAAGACCTCAGTGATCACCACCATGATGACAGTCAAGACTTCCGCTATGATCATGAAGCCTTTTTGGGCAAAGAAGAAGCCAAGACATTTGACCAACTAACTCCTGAAGAGAGCAAAGAGAGGCTGGGGTAATGATGCAGTGGTGGAATTGGGCAAAGAATTTTGCATGCTAAAATTGGGAGAGGAGAACCAAGTGTCTAGCCCTGTAGGGTGATAGCTTCTTAGAAGGCAAAGGGCGGGTTGTAGTGACTTGCACGTCACTTTGCCTCTCCCTACAACTTATAAAGCAACTATAAATTTAGCAAAAGATAATATAATATATAAATCTGCTTAATGTATTTGAGCATGGGCAGATTGCAGAATTCAGTTTTTACTGACAGCCAGCTAATTTGAACATCACATTAAAGAACAAATAAACTTGTTGCCTCATTATTCTTGCCTGGCTAACCAAAAAAAAATTTGACCATGATTTGTTAAACTTTTTCATTCCAACTTAAGGAGGAATCAAGTTAGGGATCCCAGTCTGGATGCCTGAAATAAAGAAATAAGGAATGTGGCTACCAGCTTGGTTTAGCTCTTCCCACTGGCTAGCGAAGCCAAGTGAGAATGGTGGAATGCCATGTACAAGAATGCTTGCTTGTTTCTCTAAGGGAGGATTCTAAGTATGCTGGCTTATTGTGGTGTGCAAACTAGGCTAATGTTTGGTCAATCTGGTTACAAGCATATTTGAAACAACTGGATTTTATGACTTGCCTGTCGTCTAAACTTTACATTGACGTGGCACTTAGCCATTTCAACTACATCGCCAACCCCCCCCAAACCCAAAACAATAACAAAACAAACAACCTTAGCAAAGTGAGAGGTATTAAGCACCAACATAAACCTCATTATACTGCCTTTTTTTCTTCAGGAAGCTATGTTCCTGGTCAAATGCAAAGAAACAATGCCATGAATCCAGAGTCTTTTAAAGATGGGATCATCCAGCCATTTGAGAGTAATTTCTCTAAGGCAGGGTTTCTCAACCGTGGCAACTTGAAAATGTGTGGACTTCAAATCCCAGAATTCCCCAGCCAGCATGGCTGGCTTGGGAATTCTGGGAGTTGAAGTCCACACATCTTCAAATCGCCAAGGTTGGGAAGCCCTGTTCTAAGACATCAAGTTTTCTTCTCCTTAGAAAACTGATCAGACAAGGAGGAATTATGTCTGGAACTCTTAAGAACTAATATGGTAGAGAAGGAAGTTTTCTATTTTCTGCCTCAAGACACCCTTTACCAGATGGAGACTGCCTAGTCCAATCCCTTGCTTGATACAGGATATTCAGAAATAAGGCATCTTTGATAGTGGCCATCCAGACCTTACCTAAAGATCTCCAGTGAGAGAGACCACAATTCTCCTATTGCCTTCTAGGTAATTGGCTTTGTGGTCTAACATCATCATCTTTACTAAGAAAACATGCCTACGTACTGCAAAAGATTCTAACGCATGTTCCAGATCAAATGAATAATTAACACAGGGCTCTAGACTGGTCTGTTGGATCTTAATACTAGCCCTAAGAGTATGGTATAGACTAGCCATTCCCAGTGGTACCCTCCAGAATTGTTGGGACTACACTTCCCAGAAATCCTAGCCCCCACTCCCAAGGTGTTCCATAAATGTGTTATGGGAGTTTGTGACATTGTTTGTAGAACATCAGACTAGGATTGAGCAATCCAGATGTTTTCTGTAAGGATTTTCAGGCCTCTTATTTTTGTAGTAATGTCCTTGCAGGAAGATTGTGGACCGAATTGATCGAGATGGGGATGGTTTCGTGACTCAGCCTGAGTTGAAGGACTGGATCAAGCATACTCAGAACCGCTATATCTATGAGAATGTAAACAAGAACTGGAAGGACTATGACAAGGATAATGATGGCCATATCACTTGGAATGAGTTTAAAAGCACTACTTATGGTCACTATGAAGGTGAGGGGGTGGGGGAGAAAAGGAAAAATCATATGTTTATGTGGAAGGGAGATAGAAGAAATGTTAAGCCAGAGGCCAGGAGAGCAGCATATACTGTAAGAGTCACCTAGCCTGAAAAAAAGCGGGGTAAATTGAGAAGGTAGACAGCATCTTGAGAAGTTAGGTTACTCTTACTAATTTGCCTTCTCATGATGGGTGCTTTGTTACACCCCACCGTAGCAGATTTTTCAAATTGCTCAAAAAATTAGTTTCCTCTATTATAGGAATTGCTCCAGAAAGGGGCCATAAATCAGCAGTATAACATAATACTTTGTTTTCTGGGATCCTAATGAGCACATGCCTCATTACAAAGACCCCACACTACACTTGATGCAGAGAGGTTAGGTCATCACTCAAGATATAGGCTCATTCTGATGGACTGTTTCACTCATATCACCCTTTCTGTGTGTGTGGTTCATTTTGGTCGACCAAACTGAAACACCTTGGAAATCCTCTCCTTGTAGAAGAATAAGTTTTAATTATGTGCTCAAGTTTACTGGGGGATTCATTGATGCTCTTGTCTTTGCTTTCTTCAGGAGAAGAGTTTGGTGATCTTGAGGACAAGAATTCATACCGGAAGATGCTGGCACGGGATGAGCGGCGATTCAAAGCAGCTGACAAAGATGGGGATATGAGTGTGACAAGAGAGGAATTCACAGCCTTCCTTCACCCTGAAGAGTTTGACTACATGAGGGACATTATAGTGACGGTGAGGCTGGGCGTACCATACTAAACAATACAAATTGCTCCGGTTTACCAGGCTGTATGAATCTAATTGTGGTTTAGTCAGCAACAGGGCTAAGGAAACCATGTCATAGCACATTTTCAGGTTTCATTCTCTATCTCTCCCTAGAATTAGAATTTCAAATTCAGATAGAATCATCTCCATTCATGGGCTATGCATCTTGTTATTTCCACTTAGAATGAATAAACTGGAAACTTTACCGAGAACAGAGAACTTATACTTGGAATAAAAGCAACACTAAATCTGGATTCACATACTCCATTTTGCCATAGTTGGTTTTTACCAAAATATGGTTAAATGATGGCCATGGTGTTCTGATTCACATAAATCCTAAGTTATAAACCATGATTTACAAACTCTGTAACTCCCATCATGCTAAGCCAAAACCAAGCAAATTATAGCTTAATATAAAGATCAGCCACATTTTCACCTAGCGGGTATCACTGTGTGATTTTATGCAGTATCAGGTGGGCAAAAATATTTTAATACATAAATAATGCATGTATCTTTTAACAATGCCCCAAATGGAGGAACACAGAGATCTTGTGAGATTTGTCTTATCTTGTGATTTTTTTTCATACATTCAGCGGATGCCATCTATTAGTATTTTGGGCTGACCTTCAGCTTAACACAACATGTAAACCCAAGTAATATATAAAAAGCAATGCTTAGTCTAGATTCTCACTAGCATGACTAGTAGCAAGAGATCAGAGAAGCTTTGCTTCAAAACCTCCCAAAAGTATCAGGTTGATAATTACACTGTGACTTTCAAATGGTCCATAGGCTTATGTAACATAGGGGGTGGGTTTTATCCAGTTGAAACAAAGATCAAAGACCAAGAATGATCTGAATCTGAATGTTCTGATGCTTCAGAAGATCGCAGTCTCCATCTTCCCAGCTCATGACAGCTATGTTCATGATGGCCGCCTCCTAGACCAGTGTTTCTCAACCTTGGCAGCTTTAAGATGTGCGGACTTCAACACACACAGAATTCTGGGGTTTGAAGTCCGCACATCTTAAAGCTGCCAAGGTTGAGAAACACTGTCCTAGACATTTTACCATTAAGAAATCCTGTGTTTTTCTGTGATAGATGGTGTATATATTGGGTGGGAAACAAAATTATTAGCTTGCCATTAGATTTCCCTAGGGTGACACATAAAAGAATAGAGCTGAAAGTGCAGCAAAGATTTTGCACCAACCTCAGCAGCTGTTCTTCAGGGTTTATTTTATTAAAAATTTTATTCCTGCTTTGCAGTTTCCATGTATACTGTTTTCTCTTTCTCCCCTTTAACTGTACCTTATCTCTCTTGTGAAATGTTACAGTTTTGCTTCACAAACTATTTCAGATGGTAGTAAAGGATCTCCATGTAAAGTAAGATACACCTGCATATTTTCTAATCACCAAATTAAGATATTGGGCTTATTTGATCTGACCACATTTTTGTATCCTCCAAAAAAATCCAGGTTTTTTTACAAGGTAAAAGGTAGCAATGATCTGCTTTACACTTGCAACGTGATGAGCAGGAAATGAACTGTGGCTGCTGCTACCTCAAAAGCTGAAGTGGGATGCTGATTTAAAATGCTCCCCTATGTTTAAAAAAAAAAAGGAACAAAAAGCTCTCAAACTTCCTAGTATTCTCTCTGATGTCTAAACTGTGTTTATGAGTTTTAGTTGAAGGATGGGCCTTTTCCCCTTAATGCATAAGAGAAGATTCAAGTATGTTGTATTGTGTTCAGCCTCTCCTTTCTCCCAGATGCAAAGCTGACTATGATCTTGGAGAAATCCTTTCCAATTTTGTCCAAGATGATAGCACACGTGGAAACAGCTGTAATGTGTTAGAGCACCTGCTTTGCAGGTAGAAGGAACCATATTCAATCCATGAGATCTGGGGAAAATCTCATCTGAGATCCTGGAGTATTGAGCCAGAGAGCCTGAGTAGGTTCTCCTCTGAGTAACCAAGGCCCAAACTTAGAAAGTGATTATGACCCACCCACATTTTCCAAGACACAACTTCCTTGTTCTGTAACAGACACATCACACTACCAAGCATCTAGGAACAGAAATCACATCTCACCAGAGGCACTATTTCTTGAGCAGGGCAAGGTTTTGGTATCTTTCTGGCACAAATCTCTGTAGAAAGATCTGCTGCACTATTAAGAGCTACCTTCTGACTTTTTCAGGAAACCCTGGAGGACATAGACAAGAATGGTGATGGCTTTGTAGAAGTGGATGAGTATCTTGGTAAGACTATAAGGATCCTGGCTGCATGGAATTGGATTACCCCCTATTAAGAAGCAGGCTGGTTTTGGACAGAGCTGTAAGCCTTTTTCGAGCCCAGAGGGAGGAAGTACTCTGCCCTTTTCTGTCTCCCTTCTATTCCTTCATTGACTTGATTAGCAGAAAGGTCTTGCTTTTCTCCGGTAGTTGGAGAGGGGGCATTGAATAGGGAGATCTGTGTTATCATGTCACTTATTCTTATTGATCAGGTGACATATACACCCCTGAAACTGGGGAGCCAGAACCTAGCTGGGTGACAAGCGAACGTCAGCAATTCTTGGAACACCGAGACATCAACAAAGATGGGAAAATGGATCGGGAGGAAATTGGGCACTGGATCCTGCCCCCAGACTATGACCATGCTGAAGTGGAATCCAAGCATCTCCTTGTTCAGTCGGACCAAGATAAGGTGAGGACAGTCCCGGCATGGGGAAGGAGCAGCAGTGCTCAGGGTAGGGTAGGAGTTGAAATATGTGGCCCATGGATTGTGTGTGATCCACTAGCATTTTTGGCACAAAGTAGGTGAGTCCCCAGGAGTCAAACTTAACTTGAAGGAGAATTTACTTTAGGGCAGTTTTAGCTCCAGGTCTCCTGACCTGGATATGGAAGTTGAAATAAAATATTTTGATCTTCCCTCAAATAATCCTGGATATCAATGCATTCCTTAAAGACTTCTGTCCTAGTTAGCTTGTAATTAGGGATTATCAATGTGTCCAATGCAAATTCATGAAATAGGTCATTTTTTAATTGTGAAGGAAAACTATTTCTGGAAGAGGGATGGAATTTAAAACAGGGTCCTTCATTCTTTCCTTTCTCTGCTTCAAATTGGGCTTGCACTCTAATTCAAAGAGCTGGTGCAATCATGTCAAATCTCTGGCAGAACCTACTTTAGATATAGCCTATCAAGGAAGGGAGAAAAAGAATCAAAGCACGTGGCTCACCCAGCTTTCACTACAGGCCTTTTTACTAATATTAGGCAGGGTCTAACCAGTACTACCGCAGTCACCCCAAAATTTAGTTCTTGAAAGAAACTCACTCCTTTCAGTGCAACTGAAATCTGTCTACCAGTGCAGTTCTAACCCAATCTCTAATGAATACTTGAAATCTTGCCCTTGACTATCTCATCCCAGTTAAGTGGCACAAGGCTATAAACACATCCAGCTTCTAGGACACGAAAGGTATTTTCAGCTCCTCAATATCAGTCAAGACCCAAATTTCATCCTCAGGGAAGCTTTAAAAAAAAAAAAAAAAAAGTCATTAAGTGACAGCATTAGAGTTAGGATTAACCGTGCTTTAGAAAACCTTTTAAATGTCTGTCCTCTGCTGAAAAACCTCCTCTCTCCTGTCCACGAGAATAGAAAACTGAGTTTCCAAGGCATTCTTTATTGCTGTTGCATCTCTTAAAAGAAAGCAAACTTTTCTTATCTGAAGAATTAAAGCAAAACACTCTGCTACTTAAAGGAAGGAGTGCTTGTACAATACAAGATTCAGATCCAGTGGACATTTTGTTCAGGACTAACCTGTGGGTGGCTTTGTGTCACATGCTGCTGATTCCTGAGATATGCATCTGCCAAGATTTGGCTTCAGCTGTCCATTCTTTATATTTATGAAATAGCAAAATAGAAGGAGAGCAACTCAGAATTTGCTGTTGTAGAAGTTTTTTTTTTTATTCTCATCCTGGAGTGGGCAGGAATACAGTAATCTCTGTAGCACCAAAAAGAACTTTAGCCCTCTAAATGAGGAAAAAGCAGAACATTTAAAACTGCCTCCTCTAATGATTTGTTGCATGGACTGTTATAAGAGGCTGTTAGCAGTGATCTGGAAGTGTTTGTATTTTTTAAAAGATTCTTCCTTCTCCCTGAAAAGTTAACACAAATGGCTTCAATCTATTTTTTTATATATAATTTGCTAACAATACAATACAAGAATGTTAAAAATAAATGATTGGGATGTAATTGGGTTGTAATTGTGCATTTCTCTCCTTGCCTCCTATTTCTTTTCTCCCACTGCCTCTCTTCCTCCCCACATCACAGGATGATAAAATAACCAAGCAAGAGATTTTGGACAATTGGAACATGTTTGTGGGAAGCCAGGCCACCAACTATGGTGAAGACTTGACAAAGAAGCACGATGAACTGTGATTGGAGTGGGTGGGGGATATACAACAGCGGGTTCTCCCTTACATGGGGGTGGGAGAAGCACACTCCAGAAGAGAATTGCTGTCTTATTTATTATTGGAAGGGCCTGCTTAAACTTTCCTCCTAAACTAGTGTAGCTGGTGTACTTGGGTGGTTTTCCCTAGGATCCATTCTTGCTCCTCTGCAGCCTCCACCTCCCCCAAAGCACTGTGAACTTTACTGCGCTATAAAGATGTCCATGTTCCTGAGGTTTGGGAAGGAGGAGATTAAATACACCTACACCTTCTTTCACCAGTGCATTTAATCTCTTCTGTAATGGTTAGGGTAGGTTCAACCCATGTTCTTAATGCACTTAAATTCTTCCCTTGCAAGTTCCACACTCTTTAGCTAAGGGGAGGCAAAGATTAGCTCCCTTAAGTGCTCCCCTTCTTTTAAGGGGACTAAGATACCTGTTTTCTTTTCAAACACTCATCTGGGACCTGTTGGGAATAATGAAATAACCAGTTGGGTTCAAAATCACCTCCCATGTCTGTTTTGCACAGGCAAAAAAAGTTGAGTACAGGATGAATGTATTTGCAAGCATCTTAGTGGTAGCCCCATCCCTTGGATAAACACTGCTTGTCTGGGCTTGTAGTTCTTTCTCTGTACCTCTTCGTTCTCCAGGATGGCAAGCTTTCCCAGAAGGAAGTCATAGAGATGATGCAGCACAGCATTGAGAGCGCCAAAGTGTATGGAGCAACAGTTGGTTATCTGGGGGGCCGCCAGGAGTTGTGACCTCTTAAACTGTAACATTCTGGATTACTAATAAAACCACTTCCCACCCTCTCAAGATATTGTGCCATAGATTGGACTACAGAAGAGGCAGCAAAATTTTAGGAAAAAAGAGATTGATCCAACAGAAGAGCTTCCCCCCTTATAGAGGTGTCAAAAATTTTTTTAAATTAATCAATTAAAAAGATACACTGGGCCTTTGATCTTGTGAACTGCACCCTCTGTTTTCCTTCCCAAGGTTAAAAAAAAAAACTTGGCAAGTGAATGATGACTCCTAAAAATAAGCTTTTGACCACACATTTCCCAAATTAAAAATTATTTCAAAAACTTCAAAACCAAACAAGCATTATTTACAAAATTATGGGATACTTTGTCTCTCTTTATATCCAATATTGGCTTTTTCAGGCTAGCAGGTGGCAGCTAGCATCGGCTGGAGGAGTTGTCCTTTTCTTTTCCATCTGAATGTATTAAGCTTGCATCACAGGCCGAGATTTCTTGGCTTCCAGCTCCACGCCTGACCCTGCAAATCCTGTGCCACCCTAGAGAAGGAGGACACTCATAAGGGAAGAGGAATGGTAACAAGTGAAGGGCCACACTTACCTAGCCTGTGACGGTGAGAGAGCTTTTGTTGGGCTCAGTGCTCGGCTGGGCAACATGACAGTTGGAGCCCAAGCTTTGCCTGACAGCTAACCCCAGGGCATGTGGTTGCCCTGGGATGAGGAAATTCTCTGCACATGTTCAGAAGTATTCAGAGTTGGTATGTAGTTCCCTACCACTGCTTATCATACTTAGCTCTAAATCTAGGTTAACAAAACATGACTGCTGTGTTCATGAGACTTGCTATTTTGAAACCTGCCATATCATAGCATGTATATGGTATGATTTATACAACATGCTAAGATAATAGTTTTCTACAACATGCTGAACCACAAACTTCTGTAGATGCCCAAGATGTAATATTCACACTCCAAATAATCCCAGAGAAAATATTTCTATATGTAACTGCAGGGATGGAGAACTGATCGCCCTCCTGATAATACTAACTACCACTTTCATTATCCTGGACCATTTGGTTGAAAGGTGGTGGACCTTTTTTTGAAAAAACACAAATCCCTCCCTATTTTAATCTGCCTTCAAACCTTGTGAATAGGGCAAGGTTATGCCTTTTCTTCTGAATCCACACAAGAATATTTCAATAATTGTAGCCCAATGATGACTCATCTTTGGCTACTCAATACTGCATATCAGGGATAAGACCATGCTATTGTTTGTATATCATTCTTTTTTCAATAAAACTGGCTGAAAGCAACTTAATCTAAAAACGTTCCCCAGATTTTAAATATTTGAGAGTATCTTGACCATGAAGGCAAATCATTGAGATAACTTCATTATCCACTGAGGATAACATACCATAGTACAAGATATCTAGTAATGCTGGCAGAAATTTGTGCATTGATAATCTCTATTACATCAACGCAGGTCTTTGGAGCACTAAAATATGTTTCCAATCATATCACAACACAGAAATTATTCCAGAGCATAGCTGGATAATTGCATGATGGCTATGTTTTGCAGCAGAATGAATGATGGGATTCAATGCTTAGAAGACTAAAGAAAATCAAAATCACTGAGTAACCTTTTAATATTTTAGATCAACATAAAGACTTTAAAAAGGACTACAGATTTTAGATCAGCTCTCCTTCCACCAGGTATCCTTCAAATGTACTGGAACGAGAACTATTAAAATTGCCTACTTTGGGAGCTATAGGAGAAGGGCTTTAATGGTCAATCTCACCCGCTGTAAGACTATGATGTCCTTGTCAGTCAACTTCTCCCCATTCATTGGATCAACCATGTCCTTCTTGATCAGCTTCTCCACACATTCCAGGGTCACAACTGAGCCTCTTGAAAAAAAGGACACCTCCTTTACATATTAAGCATAAGGCACAGATTCCCATGCTTGGATCCAGCTATAGATTTCATCCCATAAATAGCCTGCTAGTAAAAACCTTTCCTCAGTCCAAAAAAGCCCCATTTCATTACTCACGATGGACGGAGCACAGCACAAGGGACAGAGTTTCCAAGCATGTCTCGTGTGACGGCACACACGTAGCGGTCCTGCCGGTTGATCAGTCCAACACGATCTACACTAGGATCTACAGGGGTGAAGTGCACTGGGATCAAATCTTTCAGCTTCAGTGGTTTCCTACTCATGGGGCAGTACACACACTTGTCCTAGAATAAATGGTAAGAACAGAAATGACAAGAATAGGGTAAGCTGGGAGTCAAGACTGCTGAGTTCTCAGGGGGGAAAAAAAGGAAAGGTATGGAATAGATTAGAATCAATATGGAAACACATACTCTAATCCTCTCTTGAAACTAGCACTCAAATATTCAAAACTCAAATGCTTTATTCCTAGGATTTGATATACAGAATATCAAGATCCAATGAAAAAAACCTGGAACCTGAAAACAGAAGCCATTCATGGCTGGAAAATTAGAATCCGTGCAATTTTCTTTAATATACATGCACAGTGAATAAATTTCAGTGGTATCTTCCAAGCAACCAGATATTCCATTCCCCCCATGGTTAATCTTTAATCAGATCTTTTAAAAAGAGTCCCTTCATATATCCAGATCATTTAAATACAGATGAAATTTTTTAAATATTTAGAGGTGAGTGGCCATTCTGATTATAATTATGGGATGTATAGTTCAACAGAACTGGATTGCACCAGGTTGGAAAAGGCAGCATGAGCCTTTGACATTTTTCAACCAACAGCCATAAACAAAGAAAAACAAGGCTAACCGAAAAGCTATCTGGTTTTGGAGGGGGAAAAAAACATAGATCCAAATACAGCCATTAAGTAAATACATTTAAATCATTAGGACTTCTCCTAAGAACTCTGAAACTAAATGCTTTGAGAATATGGCACCACATTAATCAAAGATTAAGAGCTTTTATTATTCTTTATAGAAACCATGGCAGTTAAGCTGGTTTAGTTTTGTAGTGTAGACAAACTGCAAGACGTACATATCCCAATAGAAGGCAAGAGGTGAATCTTGAAAAGGGCATGACAAGATAACTCACTGGTTTTGGGATGGCTTTGGTTTTGGCCTCAGGTGTCAGCGAAGGGATCCAAAAGCTTGGTAGTTGTTTGGCCTTTTCTCCACTGCTGGGTCCTGGTTGAGAGTCTCCTATAATCCACAGAGAAGAACAGAGTTATTAAGGTCTACAGATTTCCAAACATGAATTGTTTGTGGGTGGGTGGGATAAGATAGTGCTATACGCCTAGGAGCACTGGAATTCATCTGCATGCCCAGGGGCACTGCTGGAATATCAGGTGCCCTTGTGCGTAAAAACATTTTTTTATATTCCAGCTATGTGCATATACACTCATGTGTTGTTAAAAGCCTTTTTTTTAAATATTCCAGCAGCATGCATACACAGTCAAAAACAATTTTTACCTTCTAACTGGTGACCCCCCCCTCATGCGGTGCTCTTGTGTGGCGCACAATTTGCACATTGGGTTTCAATGGCCCTGTGCATACTTAGTCTAGAACATGTAAAAGGATGCAGGAAGTACTTCTCTTGTGCATCCCAAAATATGTCCCTCATCATTACATTAACACTACAAAGCTCAGCAAAGACAGGAATAATGCAGGCATTGTTATTCCATGCTTGGGAGAGGATTCATATCTTGTAGCAACTGCCCACATTTCCCCTGGGTGATCCATTTCACATTCAGGGGAGCGAGACAAATATTCAAAGAGAATGATAGCAGGGGAGCTAACTTGGAAAGAGGTGGGGGGGGGCAGTGAAGCTGAAAAATCAAATAAGGGTAGGAAAGAGCTTTAAGAGAAAGAGACAGAAACTTAAACATAGGCGAAAGAGCTATTTATGTGAGAGTTGATGAAAAGTAATGCCGCCACCTCCATAGATTTAGTTTAAATAGAGATATTTTAATAAATGAAACAGGAAAATAATCCTTGAAATCAGCTCTTTTATTACCTGTACTTACTTTTCCACATAATTACTATCATTTGAAACACACTTCTGCCAATGATGGACAAGCTTCTTAAAGCTGTCACGAAAGAACTCCACACTTTGTCTCTTCAATCATGTCCTACCTCTCTTTTCAGTCTCTTCATCTGAATCAAACAGATGCTCACGAAGGTATTCCTTCAATTTTGGGAAAAGGTGGGAGGATTGTATGGAGGATAGGGTAAGACAGTGAGATCCAACTTCACAATTGCCTCTTGGGCGACTTACAAGGTGTGAGGCCCAGGCTTGTCATGTTGTAGCAAATATCCTACTTGAGCTACTTCAAACTCAGCTTAACAATTTGTTTCAAAGTTCTGACTGTTGCAATTAAGTGTTGCAAAAAAAAAAAAAAGCTAATTTCAAAGATTATTTGGAGCCATCACTTTTTATTCAATCCTCGTAAGAAGAGATTGCTTCCCCCCACCCCCAGTTTCCAGAGTTGCTCAAGCCACCACACCATGCAGGACCAGAACAGGGAGAGTGGGAGCAATTCGTATCAAGCATGGCAGCATCTTTAAGATTTACAGGAGAGTGCACACGCAGCAGAAGGAAGAATCCATTCTTGATATCCTTTCCCAGATGGCAAATAAGATAGTTTTCCTCTCCCCACCCCCAGCTGCTTAGTACGGACTGCATTCCTCTACCCTTGAACACTTACCTGACTGACGATCAAAGGGATTGAGGGGTTTGCTCACAATGCTCAATTCTTTGTCAAGGAAACTCTTCACCTGGGACTCTTTGGCAGCCTTGCTCAACTCTGCCATCTCTGCTTTCTTTTCATTCTTCTGTTTTTCATATGCCTGCAGATGCCAAAAAGAAGGCCTTTACTAAGAAATCATCTCTACTGCTGCTCTACTTTTCAGCATGTCAGTTCTAAAGCAAAGTAATAAGCATGTTTCTGTTCTCTATGAGATATAGGTGAGGTGGAAACAACAGGGCTCATTAAAACCAAAGAGTAGTCTAAAGCCTAGGAAAAAAAGACCAGTCTGTTTCATGATTTGTTTTAAGTGAGAAAAGAGTTTGAGCAAGAAGTGAAAAGCTTGATGACAATCAGATGAAGAAACCAGACTGCAGCTGCAGGATGCCCAGCTTACAAGCAGCACTACAGGAACAAATATTATTGATGGACCCCAATAACTCATTATATTGCTACATAGCAGCACTGTGGAATCAAGATACTATATCCCCAAAGCAGGAACCGAGCCATAAGCATAAACCAAAGTTTGACTTCTAGCTGAGTAGAGATGTACAGTCTTGATAAAAGACGCTGATCTCTTCCTGCCTACATTACTCTAACATAGCACTCAAAAAGGGAAAAAGGAGTCTTTCCCATGAATAGCCTCCAGAATGGGACCTGAAGATGTGCCAACCAGAATACACAAGAATTGTTTGTGCCCTTTGTATTTCTGATACTCTGCATGCAAGCCTGACCAAAAGACACGATGCCTCTGTTAAGACTTAAATCTGTTCTTTGCCTCCTGTAACAGACACAGGCCAGGAATCGATGGCCAGCAAGGTCCATACCAACGTTTACTCAAGAAGCTCAGTCTCAGCCACTCCCTATTCTATAAGCTCATCTTCCAATTCTAGGAAGGGAATGGAGGAACAGAAACCAAATCCAGCCACAGCCATTGTGATGGGATGTGAGGGAGACCTTGGAAGATTTGGGGGAGTGGGGGAGAAATGCCACCTAGGGAACTATCAGATAAAAGAGAAAGGAGTCCCCAACATAGCAACGGCCAGAAAAAGAAACTTAGGAAGGACCCACCCTAACTACTCAGGCAGTAAAAAGGGAGGGTGGGAGATTTGTACTTTCAGACTTGCAAGATTCCGTTAATAAGTAGCCTTACAATAAAACAGAATTAGCTCATCTAGTCGTGTTTCCTGTCTGGGTTATCTGGGTGGGCTGACAGCTCTGGAGCTCATCTGTGGCTTTCAGCCAAATCCTAAATTTATTATTTTACAATGTTTATATACTAGTTTTAGGAGAACATTCTCAAAGCTGTTTACAGAAAATTGAATAACCACTAAAAATATTACTTTCTGCTACACCTTCTTCCATACTTTTTCTTGGACAGATTGTTCCTTAAATCTTGCAGCCTCATTGGTCAGATAGTATCAGCACCTCCTGGCCATCAGGCAATGACTGGAGGTGGCACTGGACAAATATAAGTATCCTTTCCCAGTCATCTTTTTGCCTCAAACTGAGCCTACATTGGGTCACAGGAAAAAGGGCCCTTGTGGATAAAGCCCACTGAGCACCAGGGCTATCAAAAGAAGACTAAAATAATTCATGTTACACAAAAGATGAAGAATGCCTACTAAACAAATTATAGCAAACCCACTTCAGTTAGGTCAGATTTAATGGGTTGATTTTCATGTTACACAGCATAGATAGTTTATGTTACTGGCATTCAATTCTTTTCCGCATCTTCTTTCATTTGTTAGCCTTTTCAGGCACACTCTTCCAATATATCTATTAAAGTTGATATTTAAGTATGAACCCAACCAACCTCCTAGCTCTCCATATTGACATACCTTCATTTGCCGGGCAATTTCCTTTTTCTGATGTAGGATATACTCCAGGATAGCTTCTTTTTCATAGAGGTATCCATCGGGGCTGGAAAGGGGGGGGGGGAGCAAGATAAACAGAACTTGTAAACCCCCAATAACCCAACTCCCAAACCCCTCCGGCCTCTTTGACTACAGTGAGAACTGCAGAGCATAACTATACTCAGATATTGGTCCCTATATTCAAGGATACATCTGGAAAGCCATAATACATGTAACTAAAGGCCAAGATGGGGTTCATTTTTAATGGCTGGGGACAATCTTTGACCCTTTTGGGACAACTATGGTGACCAATACATTGAAGCAAATGGCTAGGACTACAGAGTTTATTTTTCTGAGTTTTGGGGAGGAAGTTGGGAGGGTGTCTTTGCTTTTTAATTACACTAAGCCTATTTTGAGGATTACTTTTTAATTTGTATGGCAAAATGGCAAGAAACCACACCATTATAATTGGAGAGAGCTTTATGGGCTGCAAAAAAGTGGCTCAGGGAACACATGGTAACACAAATAAGAATGAATAATGCACAACTGCAGGGTCAGGAGGGAGAGAGATGAAATCAGCAAAACTCAGAAAGGCTTTGTACAAATACAGGTAGTCCTCACTTAAAAACTCCTTCACTAAGTGATGTGGTTGTTAAGTTGGACATCACGTGACCATGCCAGACTTACAATTTCACTCCCACTGTGGTCATTAAGCGAATCACCCATGGTTGTTAAGCACGACATCACATGACCATAATTTGCAACGTACTGCCAGCTTCTCCATTGACTCTGTCTGTCAAAAGCTGGCTGTGAAGCTTGCAAATGGTGATCACGTGACCATGTGAGACTTCCAATTCTCTACCCTGTTCTTGACCCATTCCTTTCCAAAATTAAATTCCTTCTTGCACCAATGATAATAAGAAATAGCAATCTGTGGATCACAATGCTATGAGGCAGTAAATAGTGCTAACAAAACAACCCCTGTGTAACAATGGATACATGAAGTACCTGATCTGTGCTCCATAGCTAGATTTACATTCCCAGAGAAAGGGGGCATTATGGCACAGAGACATACTGAATTCATGTTCCAGCTTTTAACCCCCATTCCTCTATAAAACAGGATGTCATTATTTTTTGAGCATTGGAAGGAGAAAAGCACCAACAAAATTAAGATTCTGTAGTAAGGGTGCAAAAGAGGTTGAAGTATCCCTTTGTGGCCCACGGAACCCCCCCCCCCCCCAGTGTGCAGAGCCAAAAGTCTGGTCCTCTTTTATATCTGGGGGGATTTAACAGGCAAAGTGTACCCATTTCACCCTAACATTTCCAAATTTCCTTCCAAAACAGGGCTTGGGCCAGCCCTCAATGTGTCATGCAAAATGTGATGTAGCTGTCAAGCAACAAAAGTTGTACATCACTGATTTATACGAATACACATTAAAAGGCCATTACATTTGCAAAAAAAGAAAGGAAAAGGAAAAGGAAAAGGAAAAGGAAAAGGAAAAGGAAAAGGAAAAGGAAAAGGAAAAGGAAAAGGAAAAGGAAAAGTTCAACAGGTGTATGTAGCAAATGGACAAATAAATTATCTGTACTGGGCAAGGGAAATTAATTTATCTTTTCTTTTTAGAGATTCATTACAGTATTGATAAAGTGGAAAAAAAAAAAAGGACACACAGAGCAGATCTTCAGCATAAGATTCTGAAATATTTCAGATGGATCCCATCCAATATTTACGTCACAACAGGGTCCTTGCAGGGCTGCAGGGAGAGGCAGCAGCAGTCAAAGTCCTTGACGGCATCTTTGCTCAAACGGACATTCTGAGTCCCATAGCCAGAGGCAGCTGAAAAAAGGGAGGAAAGGTCATAGCAAGTGCGCAGCACTGACAAAGCTATCCAAATGGCTGCTCTGGATTGCTGCTTAGATCCATCAGAAAATAACAACTGACAACACTCTAACCAGAAAAGTTGAGCTTGCCAAGAACTCTGCTCAGGGGGCTCAGCTGGTTTCTATTTCAAAGCTTGTAGTTTGAATTAGTTTAAATCTGAGTTTCAATGAAACACTAGGACATATTAATCACACTCCAGGGGTGTGACCAAAACTCTGAAATAGCTTAGAGCTTTTTGTAATATCCAGCTAGTCATAAACAGCACAGAGCTAACCGCTTCCCAGTCCTGGCTTTCTTTATTTCCTTATGTTATGTCTGGAATTGTGAGCAGAACCAAAGGGGTGGGGAGAAATCAGCCCCAAATGTTGTGACAATCCCCTAAACTTGTTTCTATAAAGACGATGGGAAGAGGGGACAATATAACTAGACACAGAGGTCCCAAAGAACAAGATTTCAGATTTCACTGAAAAAAATTTCTTTCCACTGGATAAATAATAATGGCTTTCATCAGTTCTTTTTGCAACCACTTCTAATTTACTGATACATTTCTCCAATTCTACTCAAGACATCCCCTTCATACAGGATCTCTCCTGCTCTTGGATTGCTTTTCCTCAACATGACTTTCTGTCACCTCCAGCCAGCAATGCCAACTAATATGCTAGCAGCAGAGAATGAAGATTGTAGTTCAACACACATAGCAGATACAGGCTAAGAAAAACTGCTTTGGATTTCCAAAAGCAACTCCATTATTGCAATGAGGGGGCAAGATTTCCCCCACTCCTCAACCAAGGAAGCACTGTCCATACACTTCAGTCAGCAGCCTCCTCACCTGTGTCTTTTTTCTTTTCATGGTATGTGTAGACAGCTCCAGCTGTACAGTTCTTGCCATGACGTGTCATGTAGCCTTAGATGGACAATCCAAGACAATGCCAACTCTGGAGTCCTTCTATTAATGCCAACTCTCTTCTAACAAGAAGATATTAAATTAATTCTATCTAATGCCAGAGACAAAGAGGCTGATATGTGTTACATAGGAAGCAGGTGAAATAAATCCCATGACTGGAAGTGGAAGATTATGGAGAAAAGAGTAGAATATATAGGAAAAAAAAAGATATTTATAGGATGATTATATAGGCAGCTCCAACCTTCCTTACTAGGTGTTTAGTTCTATCCTTGTAAAAGTGTGGGAAAAATAGAACCAATTATGGTAGGTAGAACTGCGTTCAAGTATTCTGCTTCAATTTCTTACTATTCTACCAATTCTCAAACCTAGTAGGGAGAGTCATGTCATATCCATACAGTAATTCATCACAAGATCCCATCTTTCTGGTAGCTGTATAAAAGAGGTTTATCAACAGCTCCAGCTTTATCTACTCTAAAAAACAAAGCTGTGCCTTCAAGATTGCCTGACTGCTTCATTTTGAGTGGTATCAGCTACTACATTTCCCTTGTTTGAGAAACTCAAGTCTAGCAGCTCAGTCACAACAAATATTGAAGCATTTGATATTTAACCTCATTTGGGAAGCATCTGAAGAACAGAAAATTACAGTCAAAGTGGTTTAATTGTTTATCAGCATGTAAGGTCAATGATTGCCACCTGGTGGATGGTTAACAATGTTTGCAACAAGCATGATACTGATTCATACCAATAGCCTCCCATCCCCCTAGCATATATTTTCTATTTAAACCAATCTTCCCTACCTTGGACCCTCTCCACATGTGAAGATTTCAATTTCTAGACATCTCAGCAACAGCCACAATAGCCAGGGAATTCTGGGAGTTGAAGCCTACATATCTGGAAGGTGCCCAAGTTGGGAAGAAAGATTTAAACAGATCCAGAAGATCCTATTATTTAACCCTAACCGTATTAATGTATTACAGAGCTATTCCTTCCACAATACAGTAATATACTTCCTTTAAAAAAAAAATAAACTGCACAGCATTCCATTTGTTTCTCCAAATAAACTTATAATCCTTCAGTTTCATTTATATCACACCAAGCTTAGATTCCTGAAAGAGAGACTCTGAGAATAAGTATATGCATACTTATCTAGGAGCAAACAGCACTGAACTCAAAGGAGCTTACATCTGCATAAAGTTTTATGCTCTTTTGATACAGAATTTCTGCCAACACAATATTACATTACTGTTTACTATTTCCATGGTAATTAAACTCCAAATATCTCTCTGTAAAAAGTACAATTCACTTTTTTTTAAAAAAGCACACATCATCCTCAGCACCCCTTATCTTTCTATAAAATTTCTAGATTGCTTAAAAACTACTTCATTCTAACCAGTTTTGTCCTTCTCCAAAGAACATTATTGCTATCAAAATTGACATATAACAAATCTCAACATCCTCAGCAAAACAGTCAATAGAAAGTTTACAAACTTTATGAATACACCCATCCTCACACTTACAATTTAAAAATAAAGAGAAATATCAGCCATGTTATCTGGGCTGCACAGCTCTGAACAACCACAGGCTGGCAGCAATGAATTACAGAAAAGAAAAAGAAAAATTTAACTCTTTTGCAAGAGAAATATATAGCCCAGCCATTATTTAATAAATTCTGACCCTCAACATTTCAATTACTCTGGAAAAATCATAATGTCCTCTGAACACATACTGTAGCATTTCCCTACATTTCAGTAATGATTGTACTTAGTCCTTAAATATCCACCTCCCATTATTCTAATTTTTCACATTATTTCAAGACACAGAGAGGATGCTAGGTCAAAGAGGGCTATTTTATCCATTCTTGCTCCATTCGCACCACATGTTAATCCAGGAATACTGAATCATAGTTACATTAATTAGCTTAAGTCTGCATAACGCGCTAAACCTATACTAAAGATACTGAGATACAAATTAGCCAGGTTATTTTGCGAACCTCGTCACAAGCCACACTTTGGTCACCGAAGCCAGCAATCTCTTTCTGACAGGCCCCCGGAAGGACCTTCCGACTATAAGTACCGACAGAAACAGCGACAGCAGCGCGCTATTGAGCCGTTAAAAACTATCTGCTATGCCGAGTGGCGACAGCGAGTGAAACTTTTCAAGCGGTAGCTGCCTGGTTGGGGCTGCAAATCAAAATGTCTCAAAAGGAGCCAGCTGAAAGGTTGGCAACCTTAACAACCATTCCTGGCCAACTATAACCTTTTTCTGCCGCTCAAGAAATGCTCAAAAAGACGACTGTTTTCCCCTCCTTGACCAATTCCTCTCACAGAACCGGAAGCAGGAAATCTATGAGTCCGGAAGTGCTCCAAAGAACGGTACTCCGGATGCGCATCAGATAAAGCGGCCCGCTGGCAAGAAAACAAGGGGTTGGGAACTGAAAGGTCTTCCGCATGGAGGTTCTTGGAGTTAAAAGAGGGTTCAGCTTTGTGTTATGGCGTTTTTAACGCCCTCAAGGCCTTTTCTCCAAGATCCCTTTTCAGGAGTGGGGAGGGCGATTTGGGGGGAACTAAGGGCCTTTACCCCTTAAAATATCTCCAAAAATATGCGTATATAGCTTCTCTCTGCAGTCACTGTTTTCTGCTAATTGAACTTACTTCACTGTGGTAGTATATTTTATACTTCTGCCATTTTAAAAGATATTTAGAGCAGAGGTGGGAAACTTCTGCAAAACGAATGTTTTGGGGGTCATTGGTCTTGCTGGCTGCGGCTGATGGGAATTGAATTCTAAAATATTCAGAGTACACCTTGTTCTAAGCCTTTCCCTCTCTTGAAGGAGTGCACATTTACCCTAATCTTGCTATTTCTGACCAACTTTCCTTAATCTGGTTGAAGATAGTTGGTTTTGTAGTTCGTGTGTGGAAGGAATCAGATTAGGGAAGGCTATTCTTGCATTGTCAATCTTCCATAAATGTTTTAAAATAAATTTTAAAAATTAAGTTGTGTTGTATTTACCTACATCAGGGACATACAACTCCGTCCCTCAGGGTTTGCAGTCCACCAAAGACCTTACAGAAGTTGCTACCTGTTACCAAACTAGGAAGGGGGATAATTTTAAAATCTCCCTAGCAGATACCTTACAAGTGTACTTTAGTAAAACATACTCCTAAGCTACCATCCATCAAGTTGAACTTCTAATGCTGCCTGTTCAGTCCAGCTGGTCACTTCTTAGGCTGTTCTACCAGAACTAACCCCTTCAGGCCAGTTCTATGAAAATGGAACTCAGAAATAAATGAACCTTGTGGCTATTCTGAAACAGAGTAGTATGCTGTCCTGTATGTGGAGAAGTTTTTGATAAGAAATTCCCTTATAAAATGAATGAAGCCAGATCTTTAGATATAAAAAGGATTTTATAGGAAAAGAGAAATATAGGGAAAACAACTATTACCTACACAGAATACTAAATAAAATCAATATAGTCAGCAAAGCTAAACTTGTTACTTATTATTACCCAAGGTCTTGAGTTCCAGCACATGTTTATTGTAGAAAGGATTGGGGGAGAAACAGCTTTTGGGTGTTGTGCTTGGATATTGATAATGTAAATACATGTTCTTGGTCCTTCTTGCATTGTAGGTTTCTCCTAGCACTAATGCCTGATTTTATAAAAAGGTGGGATGGGAGACAAAAGCCAGTCTCTTTGGGGAGAATGAGTGTTGCTTTGGCCAATCAGGAAAACGTTCTATGTATAATATCCTGGGTCCAGTCAGCAAATCAAGTCATCTAAGGAGAAAAGCCACCTTCCTAAAGACTTGATGGAATTGTAAAACCACAATCTGGCTTTCAGCAGGTCTCTCTTTACACAGAAGAGGCCCTCTTGGAAACAAAAGCTGATTTTCACCTGTGCAAACCTCATAGCGTGGGATCAGTTTGCCATGCCAGAACTAGGAGTTGGTCTCACCACCAAACTAATTTTTGACTGTCAGGTGGAAGAAATTTTGAAACGGAGTTAATGTTACTTCCTATGAAATGCACCTTTCTCATATATATGAAGACTAAGGGCTTTTCTGCATGGCAGCCTTAAGCTGCTTATCTCACATGCCACAGCAAGCTGGAAATGAAGCTGATATAATGAATTGCTGTTTGAATTACAGACCTTTCTTCTGTTTGGCAATGGTTCTGGCCAGGTGATCTGTCTGCATGGTGATTACTGTGCTCCCCAAGTGGTACATTCCCCTACCTCTTCCCTTCCCATCTGTTCAGAGACAGCAAGCACCAGTTTCCTTTCTTTCTGGACATGCTTCCTATTTATAGATCTTTTGAATGAGCCTACCTTGTACTTGAAACTTTAGAATTTCCCTTTCTTACTGCATCCAGCAGCCTCCCCAGGACAGGTGAACATTCCTTGTCCATACATACAATGCTCTATTGGTCCACCAATGGACTTATTGGAGAAGGAAAAAGTTAGCATTCACCAATCTGCTAGTGGACCCTAACGGACCTCTATTTAAGCATTACTCTGGCTGAGAGCTGCATAAAGAAAGAATGAGTGCCTCTTCCACATCTAGTGGTGCATGATGAGTGGCTGCTGATTGCCCAATATCTTCCATGATTTCATCAAATACAGAGGTTATGAGTAGATGGTGACTGAGTTGACTAGGCAGTAGATGGGGAAGTAAAAGACTTCTCTACATTCATGTCTGCATACAGGGAGGTACATTGGTTCTAGAGTCTCAAAGATATGCCGTTATGCTGCAGCCTGATAAGACATGATCACAACATTTGGATCCATTCTATATCTGGGATGTTGCCAGCCTTCAGAGCCCTTCCTGTGCTCCCTGTCAAGTTTCCTGTGCCTCTGCTGCCATAGTGAGATCATTCCTTGCACATGCCACAACGTTCAGTCATTCCTTGCTGTGCTCTGTTTCAGGGTGCAAGTTCGCAACTCAGTTACTGGATTCAGCAGGGCTATGAAGTTCTCCATAAGGACATATCACATCAACTTCTCCTGGCTATCCCAGAGGCATGTGTAAACCCAGGGCTTCATCATTGAGTGTTGGTCACAATTCTCTTTTGCTCTCTTCTGATCTACTAACTCATGTTTCCCTCCCCACAGAATTCACCATACATTGAACTGACCTACATACCATCTAACTGCCACGCGTTTAGAAGTATGCTGCTACAGTGCATGCAGTACTGTTGAACCCTGCCCCCTGCTAACATCTGGCTGCTTCCTGCCTACATATACATTACCATACTGTGCTACATATAAACCACTGCTTGCCTTCCCACAGTGCATTGCCATTGCCCATAGCCAGGCACCTCTCCCCAGGAGCTAGAAGAAGAGCAAGCAGATATGCAGAGTACAGCTGGCCCTAAGATTCTGCTGCCTTTCTGAGCTGCGTTGCCACTTTGCACTGTGCTGCCTCAAAAGCTCTGCAGAGGCTGGCTTATAAGCATTTGGTCGTTATGCCTACAGTCTGCTACCATGTGCCTTCTTCACACAGCCACACTACTCAGCCCATTACCAAGCACACAGCAGAGAAGGAGTCACTGTATCCAGGTATTCCTCCTCCTCTCCCCACCCCACCTCCAGTACAGAACTCAGGAGTCTGGCACCAGGGATTGCATTAGCCTTGCTTGCCGCAGTAAGACAGTGATGGGCAGCAGAACTTGCTGCGCAGACCCAGCAGGGTGGGCTCAAGCTTGTATAACCTTCCTGGCAGTAAGTCCCAATAGAAATAATGAATTACTTAATTCTGAGTAAATATACATAGGATTCTGTATTATTTTATGATTGACAATACAAGCTGCCACTGCATATTATTAGATTCTGAGTGACCATACAAGCTAAAATTTAACATTCTATACAATAATCAATAAAGTATCTATTTCATTAATATGTTCTACAGGAATAAGACTGTTCTAATACAATTTTAGTTTCTAATACAATTTTAGATCATAAGATCGAATTCAAATTCAAATAGTTATTTTATTACTTATATTGGCTTTTTTCTTTTCCCATTCTTACTATATTTTCTATATTCTTTTAAATCTGTATTTGTATCAGCATTTCTTTTCCTTTTTTCTTTAAAAATTATGGTAATAATAAAAAGTCTGTAAAAATAAATTATTGATATTTTTTATCTAAACATAAATATCAGCACAACATTTTCCCTTTATTCTTACAACTGTTATGTGCCAAGATACTAAAGCTTCAGTCTTTCCACCTTAATTAGAATTTAGTTCTATCTAACACAGTAGGGCTTCTTTTCTATAAAGGTAATCCTTATGATAATTCATTTAGCGACCATTTGGAGTTACAACAGTGCTGAAAAAAGTGACTTATGACTGGTCCTCACACTTAAAAATGTTGCAGCATCTTTGTGGTCATTTGATCAGAATTCGGGTGCTTGGCAACCAGCATGTATTTACGACGGTTGCAGCATCCAGAGGTCATGTGATTGCCATTTGCAATCTTCCCAACCAGCTTCCGACAACCAAAATCAATGGGGAACCACATGATTCACTTAATGACTGCATTATTTGCTTAAAGTCCATGGTGATTTGCTTAACAACCACTGCAAAAATTGTCATAAAATCAGGTGCGGTCACGTGATGTCTTGCTTAACGACCACACTGCTTAACAATACATTCTCTGGTCCCTATTGTGGTTGTAAGTCGAGGACTACCTGTACATGAAAGGACCAAGGAATAAATGCTGCTTGTTTTATATATTGGAATTACTAATGCTTATTCTATAAATAATGCACTTATCACACCGGAGAATTAAACAACTATATATTTTTAAAATTCTTATGCCTAGCTTTGCTTCAGAAGCCAGTGCTGAACTAGCTAATGAAGTATATGTTAAAACCGTAAAAGGCAAATTGCGGTTTGTCTGTTATCAAAAAGCACAAAAATATGTAAGAGGAATAGCTTGAGAAATTCAGTTAATGTATAATAGGAAGAAGCCTGAGTGCTACTGTAAGAATAGTGCCAGCCGTCAAGATTGCCACTTGTTTATTCTGTTAAAGGTAACGATTATGTGTCTCTGCAAGGCATAGCCCTTTTAGTGCTATGCTGAAGGTCATGAGCATAGCTCTGTTGTTTTTTGAGCTGACTTTTAGAGGCATGCTGTTCTCATGATAGAGTGGAAGAACTGCAAGAGCCTAAGAAGAGCCAAGAGTAACTTTAATAGCTTAAAGGGATTAGCTGAATGTCTGAATGAGTCATCTGTTCAGTAGAAGTTCACACATTTCCTGCAAGTCATCACTGCATATCTTGTTCTTGGGAAGAGCGGTCAAGTGGTAAACATGAATATGTGAATCGGTCCTAAGCGTATCTTA